AAGCCAGGGCAAGCAGAGCTGCGAGGCAGCAGCGCGAGGTCTGAGTGCAAGAGGTCAGATGCAGACGTAGCAGAGCCTGCGCGTCCCAGCCCGAACGGCAGCACAGCGGGACCCAAACATGCCGGGCTTCGAGCGAGAAGCGCTGGCTCCGGGTGGCTGCAGTCAGAAGCAGACAGGGGACTGTCCAGGCAGCCAAATCCAAACGACGAGGCCGAGAAGCCCATGTAAGCCAAGCTACGCACGAAAAGAAACAGGTCGAGTCCACTCATGTCCGGGACGGGAAGCAACAAGTCCACCTTCCCCATTCCAAACGCAGGCGCCGCAAGCTCTGTTTGCGAGAAGCTGCGCAGAAGGGGTGGTAAGTCTAGGTGGAGAAGGTCGAAGGCAAGCGTGAGCGATCCAAAGTTGCCCAGACCAAAGGCAAACAGGACGGGCTCCGCTCGGGTGCAGGATTGCAGCGGCAGGATCAACTCTAGGCTCGCACAGTCAAACGCTGGCAAAGATGGGTCAGGCCAACCAAGACCAAACAAGAACAGCAACAGCCCACACCGGCCCAGGCTTTGAACAGAAAGGCTCGACCCTGGGCTGGAGCAGTCTGGGACAGACAGCGAAGGATCCAGTTCAGATGCACCAGACATGGATGACAGCGGTCCAAGTCAAGCCGTAGACCTGGTCGGCAGCATGAAACCTAGTGAGCTGCAGTCCAAAGCAGGCAAGAGCAAGCCAAACTCGGCACAACCAGAGAGCGGCGCAAAGAAGCCTGGTCAACCAAAGCTTCTTGCTAGAATCATGAGGCCTGGTCGTGAGAAGTCCGGCACTGACAGAGGAGGGCTGGACTGGGCAATGCCAAAGAGCAGGGAAGCCGGACCGGTGCAAGCAAAGGATCTGGAAGATGTTGCTGGGCCAGATCTTGCGCATGCCCGTACCAGCAGCGGCAATCCCAGAGCACCGCAGTCAGACACAAAGAGCTGAAATCCGAGCCGACCGCAAGAGGAGGTCGACAGGGGCAGTTCAGGTCAAGCGGCACTGTGCAAAGGCAGCAAGCTGTCCA